CATTATGATACTAATGTTACAAGATTTCTTTGGGATAAAACAAAAGGAACTGTTATCGAATTTGCTACAGTTGGGTTTCTAAATTTTCGCAAAGAATATACTAAAAGTAAAAAAGTTTTAAGAGACGATAGAAAAGATCTATAGAGCTAGTTGTTGCTTAGTTGTCTTCTGAAGTTGTAAAAATTAAAAAACCAAGAGCTATCCATCATGCAAGATTCCTCGGAAAAGCCATATATTATTTAAAATTGCAACTTCTTTCAAATAAAATTAAATTTGTTCAGGAAGATAAACTACTTTTAGAAGAAATAAATATCATGGCGGAATTCATAGCATGTTTTTATGCAAAATGGTACTTACAATCTGATAAGGCTATCAAAGCACCATTTCTAGATATTTTTTCTATACATAAAATGCATCTATAAAAAGAGGTTTGTGCGAAACCAGAGGCACTTGAAGCAGTATTGAAATCATTTTACAAACACTCCTGGTATCTAGATTCTACAATTGAACCTCTTTTTTTGTCGGCTAAAGACGTTTCTAACGAAGAAAAAAGTAAGATTACCTCTGCTATGCTTCAATATGATATGCCAAACTCTGATTATTTTTAAAATTGAAAAAAGATTGCTTATTGAAGTGGAAAACAAGATTATGATTGAAAAGAGAGTTTACAATGATCCCCCAAGTTTATCATTACTAGTTGATCAGTTTTCCTATTTGATGTTTGATAGAATTAGGTTAGATAAACAAAAGATTAGAGACTGGTTAACCTTCCACTCTTAGTATTGGTGCACATAATCAAGTTTGAAAATCTTCAAAGATTTTACTAAATCTCAAGTTGTTGTAAATGATCCTGCTGAAAGAGCAGTAGGAATGATGCAACAGTTTGTTCACAGATACAATAAAGAAGAAGAAAATTAGAACCGACTACTTACTGTTGATAAAGCTAGATTTGCCACTAAAAAGCCACGAAAAAAAAACAAATTTTTATATTATCTTAAATAACTAGTTAAAGATAAATCTTTATTCATAAAAAAATTTAAATGTAATTATACTTATAATTCGCGGTAATTATTTTAAGCGATTTTTAACACTATTTAACACAATAAATCAGCGAACATTGGCATATTCTGCCATAACTACCCTTTTTATTTAAAAATAAACATCAATACCTATCTTATAAAAAAAAAATCAGTTCAAAGTTTTAATATTATTACCTCCCCCCAAACCTTATTATATAATAAACCATTTTTTTTTTAATTAAAAGGGGTTTGGGGAGACACAATAGTGATCCAATCAAGCTAATTTTTTCTTCAAAAGCATGCACCCTACTGAACCTGTGAGTGCTTTTTATAGCCATTATTATAGACAAAAAAAGATTGATGAACATCACTTAGCTGAATAAAGTTTTTATTGTAACACTTAGCCATGTTTTCAACAGTTTTAAATACAATTTATTGAGTATTTAAAGTATTAATACTTAAATCGATAAAAAACATAAAAGAGAAGTTTTTTAAATTGTGACAAACTGCGTTCAGCTGTTGATTCGATCATTTTATTGAGCCGTTCTAATATAGCTTTCTTGTGATGATTGCCAAGATCATCCTGCTGCTAGTAAGTAATCTTAAAAAGAGTTAAAAGTTTAACTTCTAAACTGCAGATGCAGATTTTTAATCAATAGTATCCTTAATTTTTAAAAAACATTTCATTTTACTTTTTATTTTATTTGTGATATATGTACTATATTTTTTTAATACTTTATTTAGGATGAATATATATTGTATAAAAATTTAAAAATAGCATCTTTTTATTAATTATATATTATAATATTTTTTAATACTATCTTTTTCAACGATTCTACCTTGCCCAGTTGGAATGCGTCGTCGGGAAGCGTCCGTGAAAAATCTAAAGCCCATCCCCAGGACAACAGGTTCCCACTGGGTGTGTCTTTATTTTAGTTCGCCTAACTGTTGAAATATGGCTTTAATTTTAGTCAGCTTTCATGACTTGAAATTTACTTTATTGATCACAAGCAAAACTATTTTGAAAAAAAAATTGTTGAGTTTAACACAATTAAGGTAACTATAAATGTTTACTGGCAACATCGTAAATAGGTTTATTTTATAACCAATATATCCGGTTAATTTTCCTTATATTACTATAGTGTGTTGATATATTGTTTGTCGTATATTATTATATTTTTTCATATAAAAAGTAATTTTTTTATTTTAATAATATGTCAAGATTATAGATTTTATCTATTTTTAAACATCTCTTAGAAATAATGTAGCATTCTTCTAAAATATCGCAAAATAAACTTAATATATTTTAAAAAATGATTTTTTTTTCTAATAAAACAACCAATGTTGCTTATTGGGCTAGAGTCGGCGTCAGACCATGGATCTCTTGGTTTTGAGCCAGATCTCTAACCACTACGCCACGGTTGAACTTTTTGAATGTAGTGCATACATATGTGTTGTGGCAGATGTGTATCAAACTTACAAGGCATCTCTTGATATCACAATCAATAAAAAAAGTTGAACTTGATTTGATCTAATAATAATTTCAAAAAAGCAGAGAGTGCATCTAAATCTGGCACTTCATATTTTGTTCTACGAGCAATAGGTATGTTAAATATAAATAAATAGTTTTAACAATAAAAAAAGATAAAAAATAATTTTGTTGTGAGTTTTTTGTCATAAATTAAATATACTGATATTTGTATCAATGAGTATCATGGTAATATTTTTATATAGTGTTTTTTTTTTTCTTCTTTAATTATCCCAAATTAGCGTCATTCCATGCTTCTATTTGAATTCACAAAAGCGGTGTCTAAAACCATCAGACCTTTGCGGTGCTAAATGTTTGCAGTGGCGTCTTTTATGCAACACAGTTTGATTTTTTTTTAAGAGTTAGCGTAAGTTTGGCGTAAGTTTAAAACAGTGAAATTCGTATTCACGAAACTTGCGCAGATGTGTTTAACAAAACTTACGTAAGTTTTTTCGTAAATTCAGCGCTGAAAAATCAGTATTCACCAAGCTGAAACGGTATTCACCGAACTTTTTAAAAACTTGCTCAGCTCAATATATGTAAGATAAGTTACGTTTGTTATGAGCTGCCCTAACTTAGACGTAACGATAGAGAATATATGGTTCAATAAAGTTCACCTTCAGGTAGATAGTAATGTGGAGCAATCCTTTGATCATCTCAAAAACCATTGGAGGTCACAAGAGAGGTGGTGCACTTCAGTGCTTCTAACATATGCTTACCCAAACAACATATTGCAAAATATATTTTATGTGCACTTTGCTGGGAAACCTTTACAAATGCTTAGAATTAAAAATTCCAAATGAAGTTAACTTTGAAGACAATTATGAAGATGATGTACACTATGATCAGGCTGAACTAACACAAGTCAACCAATTCGACGTGGCATTGTACAAAGAACACTAATTAAAAATTTGTTTATAAATTGAAGGCGATAATATATTGCTGAATCTTAAAAAGATTTTTTTGATGTTTTATATATGACTTGTTTAAGCATTATGCAAGCTCCAAACTTATACTCATGGTTATGTCAAATTAGTATACTAATTTTTAATTATTTGTATTTAAAAAAAATACTATTTACGTGATATTTATGATTGAAAAAATTTAAATATTTTTTAATTTTTATTAAACTTATATTAAACAAATGTCAAAATTTATCTGCCCTTTATAACCTTTTTGTAGAATAATCAATTCTGAACCCCTCTCTACCTCTTTTTTACTTAAAACTGTTTTCCTAAGTTTTATAATCATATTTTTTACTTGATAAATACTTAATAAAAAAGTATTTAGTTTTATAGCAGAGTTTTATAAAAGTATTATAGTCATTTTATTATGCTAAAAAAAAATTAATTAGTAACACTCTCTAACTTAAATTAGTTAGAAATTATATGAATTCAATATTAGAAAAGTTTGTTTTATAAAATTATGAAAACTTGGTTCATTTAAATAAAAATCAACTTAGTTGTATTTTTGCGTAAGTTTTTGCGTAAGTTCAGCGCAACTTGTGCGCAACCCTAACTTTACGAAAATGCTGCAAAACATTGGTGAATACCAAATAGTTACGAAAACAACGCTGAACATACGGTTTCCGTAATCTTAGTTGAGCTACGAAATCCGCACCTTGGTTTCTTAGAAAAGTTTTTGAACCCTATTTTATATTAACGCCACCATCCAACCCCGGCCACCTTACGCCCATTTCTTGATCTGCTATATTTATATAAGATAAAGCAAATACAAGTAATTTTTTATTTTTATTTTTTAGGTATTGAAAGGCTGTAACTGACGACTCCAATTGCAAACAATTTGAAATAATTTTCTTAGTAGCACTTTGTCTTTCACTTTCACTTTCTCCTTTTATTTTATATATATATATATATATATATATATATATATATATATATATATATATATATATATATATATATATATATGTATATATATATATATATATATATATATATATATATATATATATATATATATATATATATATATATATATATATAAAATTTTGTTAAATTAGATTAAAAATCGTTTATATTAAAAGCCTTAGTTAACTTTGAAAACAATATTAGTTAGGTACCGAGCATTCAATATCTTAAACTAATTTAAGTTTTAAGTTTATTGGGGTTTAAAGCATAAAAAATGGTTACATTTAATTTCAGAAAAACTTTTGTCGATAATTTTCCCAGAGTTTCATCTTTGAATCAAAAATACTGAAGCGCAATGACGTGCTATTTTAAATACAAGTTAGTATGTTAATTATTATTGCTGCAAATTTAAAATATTTTGAACGAAAATTTTAATAAGTTGTTCCATAACGTTTTAAATTTGTATGTTTTTATATAAATTTTATTTTAACTATTAATTATTAAATTTTTTTTTAAATACATTTCTTCTTTTGCTGTTTTATTTAAAAAAAAAAGCAGATAAGCAATTAAAAAACTACTTACCAAGTGTTTCACAAGATAAAACAACCATTAAAAAAAAAAAAACTTTGTTAAAACATAGTTTAAAACGTTTTTTCTTTATAAGATTCATTTTTTGTGCCATGCTAAATAATTTCTTCAATACATTTTTTTCACAATTCTAACGCTTTGCCCAACGATATAATGTTTTTAAATCAGCAGTTATATGTATTATTCATTTATATTATAACATGTTTTAAATTGAGGTAGCCTGTCGTTATCGCGCGTTAAAACGTAGCCATAGTAACAAACTTGATTAATCTTAATTTTTAAACATGATATATTAAAATCATAATATTCATAACAAAAAGTTCATCCACATTTATCCAAATACAATTTTTATGCAAAATAAAGTATGTGTTGATTTATGAATTAGAATTTATATAAGATAAAGCAAATACAGAAGTAATTTTTTGTTTTTGATTTTTAGGTATTGAAAGGCTGTAACTGACGACTCAAATTGCGAACAATTTGAAATAATTTTCTAAGTAGCACTTTCACTTTCTCCTTTATTTTACAAAATAGATTATTTTTATTAAGTATTTTTTGGATTAATTAATGGTGGTTTTTTACCAAATTTTAAGTTAAAAAAATTATTTCACATAAAGATTTTTAGTTCTTTAGTAATTAATTTTTATTCGAGAGTATATTTTTAATAAAAGTGTCCAGCTTTTCTAGTGATTTTTCGGCGAAAATCACTTTGATATTATTTTATCAACGTAAGAGTATAATATCAAAAAATCAATAAAAAAATAGCACTATAAGGCATATAGACTTACTACGACCCACACGCTTGTTTTCTTATATTGATTGGTCTATTATAATGTTGCGTTTTGTTTTTTTTTATACGGTTTCCAATTACTACGACTGTGAGTTTATAAACACGCGAAAACAGGGAATCGATGCGTAATAGCGTACAAATGTGATGCAAATACCCTGTGATGCAAATACCCTGTGATGCGTAATAGCGTACAAATGTGATGCAAATACCCTGTGTACAAATGTGATGCAAATACCCTGTGATGCAATAGATACCCTGTGATGCAAATTTTAAAATTTAAAAATTTTAAAATTTGCATCACAGGGTATCTTGATTTGTACGCTATTACCCTATATAAGTGGCGTTCTTAGGTCAGATAGCATGGAGTTAAATTTTTGGAAAAAATTTAACTCCATGCTATCTGACCTAAGAACGCCACTTATATAGGGTAATAGCGTACAAATCAAGATACCCTGTGATGCAAATTTTAAAATTTTTAAACTTTGTCCGCGGAAAACAATTCAACTTGAATGTTCGAATGAAGTGAAGTTTTGATTTATTGTGTGACAATAAAAACACCTGTAAAATGAGAACCACTATATAAGATTTGATAAAAATTTATGCAAATGTAGCATATAACTACACCAAACTCTGGATAAAAGTTCAGTTAGATCAGTATATTGTTTAAAGTTTATGAAAGTTTTGGTATATACCTTGTTAGGTTTTCGCAACTTGGAGCTCAAAACGTTACTGATTGCTGTGATATTCAACTATTAATTTCAAAGAAAAGGTTACAAGAGTGTTCTACTACGCAATACCAAGAGTTTTTGTCATAATTATTTTATTGCTACCTTTATCATTCTATAAACAAAAATATTGATTTGCTATTTGAATATGCGTAGTGTAAATTTCTCAACATTTCCTAATGTATAAACTACTGCCAAAATGCCAAAAAAAAGGCGCTTAAAAAGAGAAAAACCGTTATTAAAATCAGTCATATATATTATTCAAATATATTATAAAATATTATATAAGTATGATATTGTTGGTGATGACGATGATACTGAAGCCAATAAAGACGATGACGATCAAGCTATTTTGAAAGTCCAAAAATTTTTGTAATTAAATTGTGCTTGCATAGAAAAACTTCTGCTTTATTAAGTAAGTATGAATGACCGTGGTGTAGTGCTCGAGATTGAGAAAAAGAAGTAACAGGATAGCGTTCGGTAAATTAATAATAAGATCCCGCCTAATCATTGTTATATATAGAGATTTATATTTTGAACATGTTATATTAAAATCATATTATTCATAAAAAAAGTTCATCTACATTTATCCAAATACAATATTTATGCAAAATAAAGTATGTGTTGATTTATGAGTTAGAATTTATAACCCCTTTTATGACGCAGATAAACAACATTTTAAAGGACTAGATTTTAATTTGCAATACTTTGATATTAAATCTTTTAAAACGCAATTTAAAACAGATGTAACAAATTTAATAGTGATCTGGGGTAGAAGTAGATTAGGAAATCTAGTGGAGCGGTGTTAAAAAGTTCAAATGTATGCAAAATGGGCCATCCGCCTTCTAAATTAGGTCAATCAAATTTTGCTATAGGTGCATTTTTGCTGAATTTTGAGGCGTCGGGTGATGAATAACTATTTATGTCCACACTTTTTAGAAAAAAGTTTTTTGATACAAGCTTATTTGATTTACAAACAGAAACTTGATAATTTAAACAATAAATAATTATGTTCAATATTAAATAATTATTAAGTTGTCTGAGCGTTTGAGTAATTTGAAACACTAAAGCATTTTCCAAAATAATTTTATTTCAGTCAATTTATTTCCCTTTCTACGTGGTCCTTTCTTGCAATTAGTTTTTCTTCTACCAAAGGTCACTCATTCTTTTGCATTCTCCTTCGGGTGGAATTCTTTTTTTGGGGACTTTTAATGCTGACGAACATCAATAACGATATACTTTTATTAATAATAAGCCAGATGTATCTGCACAGATGGTACTGATGATTGAAAAGCTTCTTTCACATTCTGCATAGCTCACAGGTATGATCATTGATGAAGAATAATGTATAAATAAATTGTTCTAACCTTCAAAAAAATGATTAAAAGAAACAGGGGCATGTCATTGACCATTTAAATGTCAAGAACTTGTCCTTTAAGTCACAAAACTCCTGTTTTGTTAAAAAAAAAGCATTAAGCAGAAAGTTGCATAATTCTATAGCAGAGTTTTCAAAAAATTTGATCATATGAAATGCAAATATAAAACTTTAAAGTTGTGCAAAATGGCCTTTACAGTTGAAATGATGAGGAAACCCATCGTGTTCTTTAAACTCGCCTTATCTTAAGGAGATAAACTTTCATCTCAACTGCTGCTGCAGAAAGCTCTCTCTTATTTTTTGAAGACTAAGGGCTGTACAGAGCGTAAAGAGTATCAATAAAGCATTTAAAGTGGTTAATTTCAACGCATACTATAGCTGCAGCACTTAGAGCCAGAGCAATAAGATGATTCAAGCAATGCCATTTAACTAGCCATAAAAACGTTTGCTTCAATTGTTTAAAGACGCCATTATTTGATCCAGTAATAACAGAGACATTGCCACTTCAAAATCTTAGTAAATAGCTGGATAAATAGGAATCCAAAAAAAGAATGCCTATCAAGACAATAGACATGCAATTTCTGCAGAACTGACTAAAAATTATAAACAACCACTTATTAGACAAAAAAATATTATTAAAAAACTTTAGCCACGCCGATTTTTAGAGTTTAATTAGTGTTATTAAATAAATATTTTTCCTTACATTGTCTTATATTAAACCAAAAACTAAAAGAACTGTTTAACTTCAATACAAATTCCCGTGAAAAAATAAAAATAGTCTTCTACTTTTAATAATGAATTAAAGTAAACTTTTGCGTAATTTATAAACAAAAAATAAAACTCAAAAACGCAAAGTTGGAACGGTTGCAAAAAAATTAAGAGAAAGGAAACGATTACGTAATTTGTCGGCTGAGAAGGAGCGGCGTTCCTCTGCATTCCCCCTACTTTAACCCCTGATGGTGATACACATCAATATCAGAATTATAAATGTAAATATAGACAAACTAAAAAATTTTCTATTAGAATGAAGTTTTTTATTTAACATGAATTGTATTAAAGAATCATGGTGGATGATGAGTCATATTAAAAGAATTGAAATTTTCAGATTCCTAGTTATAAATTATTTCATTTGAGAGAAAAACGCTCAAATGGGGTGGAGATATTTTACATTCGTAATGACTACGATATCAAAATTAGAAAAGACCTCTTGGGCACTAATTCAAACGTGTTATGGTCCTAACACTTGAGACAGCAATTAAAAATACAAAAAACATTGTAGCTTTTACTTTTTATAGACCACCTGACGGTGATGTTATTCAATTTTTTAATAATTTGCAAAAAATTTTTATAAAAAGCGATTATGAACAAAAACGAGTGTTCTGTATTGGTAACATCAACATGGATCGTTTAAAATACAATAAATACCTTACTAATAAAATCTTTTTTGACAATATGTTTCAACATAGCTTTTTCCCAATCATTAAAAAACCTACTCGTGTTACAACAATTTCATTAGTGCTATAGATAATATTCTAGCAAACTCCTATCAAGATAAGTCTAAAAAAGCAGGAATAAATAAAAACCGATATTTTGGATCACTTTCCAATTTTCTTATTTTTTGTTCAACATGAAACCATAAGTAATTTTGAAATTTGAATAAACAAAAAAATAGTTCTAAAAAAAAAATCATTTTGAACAATTAAAAAATAAAAGTTGGAACATAAAGAAAACGTGGGAAGTTCTGAAAGAAATGAATAATAAAAATCATACAGTTTCTGACATTTTACCCTCCAGAATAACGGAAAACGATATTAAGCACAATACAAAAAAGAAATATCAGAAATATTCAATCATTTCTTTGTAATCACTGGTCTAAATCTCGCATCAAAAATAAAAGGCTCAGAAAAGAGATTTCATTGCCAGATAATGATATAAACTTTGATAAACTAGAAACAGCAATCAAATCAATCAAAAAAAATACAGAGAATCTAAAGTGAAAATCAATAGAGATTTCAAATAAAACTTTCAATTGGAAATATTCAATGGAAAAAAATTAAAACTTATTAAACACATGGTTCAGAGCAAACAAAATATCATTAAAATTAAACAAAACTAAATACTTTCACTCAAACAAAAAAATAAAAGCCTTTCTATCAATTTTTCCAACTCTCAGTATAGAAATCATATTTACTGAAGGAACACAATAATCTAAATTTCTTTGTGTGCTTCTTGACGAGAATTCTTCATGGAACTCTCGCATAAATGTGAAGTCTAATATGAAGCAAGA